ACCTTCGCCTCACAATGGCGACGTAGGCAGCGACTGCTCGCTAACACTCCTTCCCTCCTCTATCTTCTAAATATCCCTCCTTGTGGCATTTACACCCCCATACTGCATGCGCTTGCCCTCTGCCTCTTGATGCTGTCCTATACTCACCCCCTTCCTCCCCTCATAACGCTGATGCAAGTAGCGCCAGCAAGCAAGTTTCCTGATTGAAAAAACCGACTGCTCGCAGTGCTCAGCTGCTCACTGGCCACTCCGCATATATAGGCACTGGATCTTGAACTTCAAGGCAGAATGTTCCTCCAGCGCGTTGTTGAACAATGGAAATCTGGAACAAAGAATTCGTGGTGAGTGCAATAACTAAAAGCCAATTACGGGTCTCGTCCAATCAGCGCCTTCTGTCCCTTATTACCCATTAGCAGCCATTGGCGTGTTAAAGTACGAAACACCGGTTCAGCACTACGTGCATTACGCCTCCCCCCATTTCTCTCCTGTGCAACGCCATGATAAACTTCAGCGCACCGGCAGCGTGAACGTTACCACCCGCTACTTCAAATCTACACATGTTCGCCTTCAGCAGTAGATAGTGCAATTTTCTCTGAAGAGTTGCCAGACATGGTGAGCCCCTGTCGTACAATGATATATTGCAATGCAGAATGACTGGGTTTGATTCCTGTTGGGACCATAACATATATTTTTGCCATACTCAGGTAGACGTGGCAGATTTCAGCTGTTGCGTTAACATTACAATATGTGTGTTTTCACACTGCCGGAGTCGATGAATAATTCACAGCATATTCACGGAGTGAATGATTAAAAGTGCGGATTAAAGCGTCCATCCATCCGTTTGGTCATTCATCTGCCTGCCTGTCTGCCTGTCTTTCTGTGTGTCTGTCTGTCTCTCTGTCTGTCTGTCTGTCTGTCTGTCTCTCTGTCTGTCTGTCTGTCTGTCTGTCTGTCTGTCTGTCTGTCTGTCTGTCTGTCTGTCTGTCTGTCTGCCCATCCGTTATTCTGTTTCTCTTCCTGTCTTCCTGTTTCACTACCATCTTAACTCTTCAATCTTACTATAATCTCCTTGATTTAGAACTATACGAAAACCACAGACGCCATCTAGTCCTAGTATTTTCATGAATTTCTTACACATAACGCCGTCTAGTGAGGAATTGACAAACTAGAGTTAGCTATATACATACTACTACGTTATATTACTTTTTCAAAGGACATTGAGAAGTTAGGAGGAGAGTGCAAGATAATTATACTAGACGATATGAATGCGCACATAGAAGATATAGTTGGGTAAACCGACCCGACAGGCAGAATAATCATAGTTATGTGTGAAGGGCATGATTTGATCATTTGCAACAGTACCGAAAAGTGTGAAGGGCAAATAACATGGGAGGTAGGAAGGCTCCAGTCGACGATAGATTACGCACTGTTGCCACATAGGATGAATTATAAGCTCAGAGGAACGCACATTGAAGAAGGTGGCTCCAGAAGTCTGGGTAGTGATCACAAACGTATCAAGCTAAGTGCTCGAAGAGCAGTGAAAGTGGGAAGGAGACAAGAGGAGCAAATACAGGAAAACTTTTATTCAGAAAGGGAAATAGGAATGGCTTCTGAAAAATTGAGAAAGTAATCACTGAGGATAATAAAACAGTGTGGACATACACGAATCTACTTAGGCTCTTTGAGCTAGAGCTTGATAAGGCACGTGACTAATCACCCCAAAAAAGAAGACACAAACCCGAAAGTGCGTGGAATGAGAAATTTAAGAGAGCCATAGCAAAACGTCAGGAAGTCTCTAGGGAGAACAGATATGCTAAGCCGCGGGGTGAACCGACAGATGATGTTGAAAGAAAATGGGAAAACTTTCTAAGCTGTAGAAGAGATGCATCTCTTCTGATCAATGAAAAGTTTAGAAGAAAGGGAGCTCAGTGGCTGACAGAAGTACCTAAAAAAGATAGATAGGCAACTGCGAAATTTCGGAACATCCTAAACTCACTAAGAAATCAGGCGAGCCTAGAGCAGAGGTTCACAACTACAGCTCAAGGTGCTAGGCTAGAAGGGGACGAAGCTGTTGAATATATAACAACAAGGGTGAAGCAAAAATTTCAACAAAGAAGAGCTTTATGCACCACAATAGACAAGGATGAATCAAGTGCTGCAATGGCTCCATTTTCACAACGAAAGTGGGAAAGGGCTGAGAAGAGGGTTTCTACACTCTTAAAAAATGGAGTAAAAAGGGTGTCTTTTTTCCACAACAATAATCGTCATCAGGCTTGCGTGCGCTTTCTTTCTTGAAAACTCGGCACAAGCCACTTTCCTATCGAGAATGCAATGTAACCCTTATAATGGGCATGTAGATTGTGATTAGAATGTACCGCGCGCGGGCCGATAGCGCAAGGATGAAACGCAATATAAATCACGATTATTGTTGGGGGACAGAAAGACACCCTTTTTTCTCGTTCTTTGTTTAGAGTATAGTAGTACAACAACAGACCCAGATGATATTCCAATTAAGCTGATAAAGACATTATGCCCGAAGTCTAAGCAGGCTTTCAGATAGGTAGTGAGCAAAATAATATTCGATGCTGAAGTCCCTGATGGATGGAAACTTAGCGGGATGAGCATGATCTATACAGGAAAGGGGGACAAAGCAGACATAAACAACTACTGTCTCAAAACAGTGACATCAGTGGTCTACAGGCTGGTGAAGCAGATTATAACGAAAGACTGCAGGCATAGATGGTGGATTAGGAGGTGCTGGGGGAACAGCGGAATGGGTTTTGGAAACACACGAGCTTGCAAGACAATCTGTTCTCGCTGATGCAGTGCATCGAAATAGCAGGAAAGGAACAGGGCCCTTGTGGCTAGCAATTGTGGATATCAAGGGAGCGTATGATAGCGTGGTTCAAGAGGAATTGTGGGGAATACTGGACACACTAGGCGTGGAAGATGGAGTTACTAATCTTTAAAGGATATCTACGAAGGTACCAAGGTAGTTATAAAGTGGAGAAAAACAGATATCTAAGCCTGCAGAGGTAAAACGGGGCTTAGGCAGGAGTGTCCTCTGTTACCCTTATTATTCATGATGTACCTAAAAGAATTAGAGGCCAAATTAGAGGTAACTGGATTGGGCTTCAAGCTCTTTCGCCAAACAAGGAAACTCGTTGAACAGGCACTACCAGCATTGGTGTACGCAGATGATAAAGTGCTAATGGCTGACAACAAGGAAGATTTGCAGAGATTGATGGACATCTGCGGTAATGAGGGAGATAGATTAGATTTCAGATTCTGTAAGGAAAAATCGCAGTCACGATTTTTAATGCCAATGAAGGTAGTGAGCTTAGACTACAGGAGGTCACGCTATAGATAACAGATATCTGGGCGTATGGATAAGCAATGAAACCGAGTACCTAAGAGGTCACGAAATATACGTGACGACTAAAAGTAACAGGAATGCAGCGGTGATGAAAAACAGGGCACTGTGGAATTACAATAGCTATGATGTTGTGAGAAGAATATGGGAAGTGGTCATAGTGCCTGGTATGACGTTCGGCAATGCGGTCTTTTGCATAAGATCAGAAGTTCAAGCAAGATTAGAAATTAAGCAACGTGGAATGGATATGATTGCCTTAAGAGCTCACGGGAATGCACCTAATCAGTGAGTACAAGTTGATATGGGATGGATATCCTTTGAGGGTAGGCAACCTAGCAGCAAGATAAAATTTCAGAAGCGATTTAGAGAAAGGGGGGAAGAGCGTTGAGCTAAGAAGATATTCAGCTACTTGTACATGAAGAATGTCGATACAAAATGCAGGAAGCTAACCAGAAAATTGACTGGTAAATACGTAAAAAACAGCAGGGGTTCAAACCAAAAAGAATTATCCTTAAGAAGAAGGTGAAGGAAACGGAGACCGACATGTTAAGAATGATCATGATTGAGAAGTTCGTAATAGAGATCTATCGAACTTTTAAGGAGGAAATTGACAAGGAAAGGATCTATGATAATACTTGGGGTAGCTATCTACTGTTTGAGGCCAGGACGGGAGTATTGCGATCAAAGACATATCAGGCCGAATACGAAGGGGTAGACACGGTATTCATTGCGTGTGAACAGGAAGAGGAAAGTGCCGAACACTTGATAATGTTCCGTAAAGGGCTTCACCCTATAGTTCAGGATGATGGCGCAGAGTTTTTCAAAGCACTGGGGTTTATGGACAGGGAGGTGAAAATAGACTTTAGGCTGGTAGAATTAACCAGAAGGAGGTTATCTAATTGATTGCTAAAGTGAAGGCACGAGTGAAAATAAACCCTGCACTGCAAAGTACGAACCCTAAACCTCACTATTTAAAGGAAAAAGTAAATGTAGTTTTTGGTTCATTTAGTATTATGGCTTGGTGGTGCTAGCCAACGCCCGATCTAAAGGGGACAGCCATATCCATCCATTCAACCATCCATACTGAGGATGAAACGACCCACACCCGAAGCATCTTCACCCCTAAAAATATCGATCACCTGTACCTTATACCCAAATTTTGTGGCACATACTCAGCCATTAGTGTCAAGTATCGGCCACTTGTGTCAGGAGGAAAATTTTGATGATATGTGCGACAAGCTTGTTATTTTACTCCTGTCATGACCAGCCAGTCATATACGTTAAACAACCTTACCCTCATATATTGACTTTGGTTTGGCTAACCTACTCAGCACCCAGAAATAGGCGGATAGATAGATAGATAGATAGATAGATAGATAGATAGATAGACGCAATAAATGCTCCCATTTAATGGTTATCTTCAATACTGTGCACCCGAAAACTAGTATTTGGAATTAACAACACCTCGTTTGGTCTCTTGACAGACGTCAACAGCCCCAACAATAGCGCTCACGCCAACACTTACAACGCTGAAGACTGTCGCACCCCCACCAATAACTCCAAAACCTACGACCTGCAGTGCTTACTCGTTCGACAGACACCCAAATCTGCACCTTATACTACACCGAAGCCAAGCACGCCAACTACTATTACGATGAAACCCACCACGACTATAAAACCAAGCACGACTGAAAAACCCACCACGACGAAAAAGCCCACTACGGCCAAGAAGCGCACCACGACAAAAAAAGCCAACCACAACGATAAAACCCACTACAACTAAGACCACAACCACTACGAAAAAACCTACCACGACGAAAAAGCCTACCACGACGAAAGAGCCAACAACGACAAAAAAGCCAACCACGACGAAAAAGCCTACCACAACTGAAAAGCCTACCACAACTAAAATGCCTACCACGACAAGAAAACCCACCACGACAAAGAAATCGACCACGACGAAAAGGCCTACCACGACGAAAAAGCCGACAACAACGAAAAAACCCACCACTACCACGACACCCACCACGACAAAAAGAACCACCACGACCAAAAAACCTACGACGACAAGAAGAACTACTACGCGAATGACCACAACATCGACCACGCAACGCACGACTACTAGACGACGTAAGTGTTTGTCAATAAGTGTAATTTATACCGGGTACCTCAAATATCAGGCAGCACAATTGCGAAAGGGAACGGCATGCGAATGCAAAGTGAACGTGAACCAAACCTAAAACACATATTTTTTCAGTAGACCGGTGTAGCCACTAGTAACTCACTGGTTAATGAGCCCTAAATTATCAATTATACTTATTTTAAAATTGACAAGTGCTCAAATAATGAACATGAGTTCAGATAGGAATATTTAGTTGTGGTAAATTGTCATAACTGTTCTATTTCAATCTACGTGCCAATTGCATGATGTGCACAACGTTAAAAATTCGCCCCGTATCTGCATGTTTCACGGCAAGTGTCGTCGAAATACGATAGTCTTGCGTGTGGTGAGGGTGAACGAAACGTTTTTTTTGATGTTCTGCGCTAGTAAATCAGTGAATTGTGTTCTGGGCGCGCTGCATTACAGTGCCTCGATCTGTGCAGCAAAGGCATCGAGGCGCGTTAGACACGAACGCTATCAGGCAGTTACCTTAAAAAAAGAAGGAAGGTGTGAGCACCCACGTAGAAAGATGCGTCCCTGTCCCGGAGGCGATAAGGAGTAAAACGCAAAGCGACGGGCTTGTGCCACTACCGTGTCGTCTTAGCAATGCGTTGTAATCACTTGCCTTTTTGGGCACCGCGTTGCACTGTCAGCGCAGCGTGATAAACGCTATGATCCCTAGAATTATTTCTGTGTGCCTTCTCCAGTAAGAAGGTGCACATACAAAACAACGACGTGTTGTTATAGTACCTCGGATATGCGAATTAACTGTTTTTCACTGACAATCGCACAAGTATGAACGCTGAAATTTGAGCAATATTAGTGGGCGCTGCAGATGATGTTACCCGTTTGAGGTATCATTTGGTCGCTTTGGCGCCAAAAAGGGATCGTTACCACGAATGAACAGACAAGTCAGGTTTTTCATCGCTGGATTTTGCACCGACAGAACCTCAGGTTCCTCAAGCAAGTGCCCACGCGAGGCCGGCATGCGAGTATTCACCATTCCTCCCCTCAAAGAACATTTTTATTGTTCGCACTCTGCCGGGGACTACGGTGGACAAGAAAATCCATGCCATTGGAGCACTGGTCAGCAAGCAAGAAATCTGCAGTGTTCAGCACCACGAAATATTCAACTCTCAGGTCAGCGTCAACTCGACGCGATCAGTTGAAGACTTTTAAAAACTGCCGGTCTCCGCGTTGGACCAGAAATGTCCGCCTTGTCCCGGTGGCATGACAGATAGCAAGCATCACGTGCCTGTACCTGCCTTGTTATGTGCCCAACAACGAGGTCACAATTGGCCTTAAGTCCTACGGAACAACGTTAAGAATTAGAGAGGCGTGGTATAAAGACCGCCCAAGTATCCGCATGGGAACCACGTATATCAAGATAAACATGCTGCTGGAAAACCCTCTCCCAAATTTTGCGCAAATGGGAGGCCATAAAGCGACCTTCGAGTGCCGTGGTGCATAGTGTCTCTGCCACCGTTGCAACTTAGAAGGTAACTTCAAGGCATAATGCGACCGCCGCATTGCGTCAGGTGCGGAGTCTTAGCGCACCGCAAAGACACCTGTACCGAATCGTGTCACCGCTGTGGCGGAGCTCACGGCAGTGTTGACTGCACCACGAGGAAATCGTACAGCCTGGCAGCTGCGATGGATATCGACGAGTTCCCGATACTTCGCACGGCACCCGCCCCAGGCCAGACACAAAGGCGAATGACCACCCTGCGCCCAGCGAAGTGACTGAAGCCGAGCGACGCCGAAGAACTACCGAAACCGCCCGTTGGTTGGTTCGTTGCGAAACTTTAAGGTGGTCTTAAAAGGCGCGTGTCAGCGCGCAGGGGGTGACTCCCACGTAAGGACCGTTAAGCCAAGCCTTCCGGCCACTCCTCGGGACTGCTGGACGGCTCAAAATTGGTTGGCCAGGAAGGAGCTGCGTAGGGCCGCCTCCAACCTGACCGATGTAGTGTTGGGTTTAGTGTACATCGCCTTGCACCCCCAGAGCATGTGCGCCAGCATTGATACAACCCCACATGCGGGGCAAGCGTCATTGGGCAACACGTTAGGATAAATAGCGTTTGTTATCACGTAGAAAACGCCGGAGCAGGCCATCAGGGTGCTGTAGGTGCAGCAAACAGGCCGCCAAGAAGACGTACAGACACCAGTGAGCACATAAAGAAACATGGTGAGCATGCGTTGCAACGAGAGGATGGAAGAGGAACGCAACCATGCTGAACCCAGCCAAGTTACCACCGCCGAGTTAGAGAGCATTGTAGACAGCGGCGAGAGAGGGAAGCATGGCGAAAACAGCGCACGAAGCGCAAGCGGTGATATCGAAGCGGAGGACGACGCCACTAGCGCAGTGAGTTGGGCGAGTGTGGAAGACATGGTTGCTGCGGAGAGCGGTGCCGAGAGATTGTCGAGTGACAGGAAGGATGACCACCACGCGGCCTGCAAAGGGTCGCAAGCAGAGCAAAAGCCTAGCCTCAAGGGCACATACACGGCGGAAGCCAACACCAAACTGCGAGGCATGTGGTGGGACAAGAAAGGAGATGACGGGCCACATGGTCGCGACGTCTTGCAGAATTCGTACATCAAGCACCTCAGGAGCTCAGCAAAGCAAGAAAAGTCCGTGAAGGTGCCGCAAGTAGACGCGCCGAAACACCTCGAAGCGTTCATATACAGCCGACAGCAACCACAATCTGAATCGGCGCAGCAACATGGTGGTGCCTCACAGCAGCATTCCTGGGAGGGTGCTCAACACTGGACCAGCATGGTGAAGGGGGGGGAATGCCGAGCTGAAAGACAAGATAGCGGCAGCTGCTATGAAAACTGAGAAATCAACAACATCTTCGTCAGGTGAGCGTGAGCCCGGCGTGCTTGTTATTGACGAGCGTGCACACACATCAACAGACTTTCCAGAGCACGCTCAGCAGCAAACGTTCTCGTAGACGGTAGGCGTCAGTCGATGGCGAAACAGCTGGAGCTGCAACCCCGATGTGGACCACGGTGGAATGCTTTTCAAGTCGCTCAGGCCCTCGGGCCCGGGCGTGCATAGAGCTGACGTGGGGCGCTCTCAACGCAGCGTAAGAAATGTACGACGTGACGCCAAGGCCCACGGGACGCCCAAGAGGCTGCACGTCGGAGAGCGAACACAAATAGGCGACGTCAAAACAATGTCGGGGCCGGAAGCTGGTAGCACATGCCATGGACACAGACAGCGACTTTTTATTAGGTGAATGTTTTCCATGCATTCACGCCGTCATGTTTTTTTCATAGCCGCTCTGATTATTGAGGCGCCGAGAGCTGTAGATTTCAAGAACGGCGCTTGCACGCAAGCCCCAGTGAATCTCCCATAATCGTCACGCAGTTTTTTGCAAAGCTAAGAACGCTTTGTCGTTCGAAAATTATCTATGAATAATTTGAAAAAATAATCGAAAAACGAGCCCTAACAGTTTAGTCCTCTGAAGGAGTCGTGCATGTGTGGCTGTGTGTGAACATGTCAGGCCTCCGCGTCCTTCTTTTTTTGTTCTGTTTTTCTTGCCCTTTTCTTCGATTTTTGACGTAGAGATGTACCTTACTCTTTGCGCCGCGTGTGTGCCATTTGTTCGTTTGTGTAACACCGCCTAAGAGTTAGTGCACATGGTGTGTCTTCTTTTTTTTAACCTGTCTCAAACTGGGCAACGTACTCAATGCTCTCTGTCACTTCTTGTCATTGGAAACTGTTTAACTAGTCATCTGGGAGCATGAAGAGATTTATGCGCGCACCCTTCCGAAAAGTGTGTGCAGGGAATTTATAGCTGAGTAATGGGGCCACAAAGTTATCTGCCGAAACTGGTACGGCAGCGCGTCCACAACACCAAGTAACAAGAAGCCCGCGCCATATGACGATTTTTTTGACGATATGGCCCAGACAGGTCATAGGTCACCCGCGCACTAATAACAATTCAATGCGGTATTTGCTGTATTGTGCGAAAGTGCAAATACCATGTGTATCTGAAGTCCTGTGTGCCAGAACAGTCAATTGCTTCTTAGGTGGTGATGTAAGGCTGTTCGCCATTCTGCCGTGCACAAGTTCAGTGTGCATTTTCCAGACAAATCTTTATTTCCACTATTTCACAGCCCTACAAGAATAACGTCATGGTGGCAGCGGTAGATTAGATGAGTTCGCAACACTTACCATGTGATGCAGGTTCGTTTTTCTTCTCGCCTCCAGAAAAGCAAGTGATAGTGACGGATGAGCGCCCTTGTGTCTTAATGTTCAAAGTTGGGCAGACATGTAAAACAGTGGCACATGTGCCCATACACACTAGTGTCTTTTGTGTTATGTCTTTCCTTTTCTTTTTCTTCCTGAATAGGATGTTTTCGTCAGTATGTTACTTGCTGTTTTCAGCATTTCGTGTCTTCTGGTTCTGCAATCATTTCAGCCGTTTCAACTGTTCCTGTATGGGTGAGTGCAGACCATGCCAATCAGCAACCTGGTTGTGTTTGCTTGGTTTCGAGAGTTACATGGTCACTCTTATGTACTAGGGGCTGCAAAAGGATTAAAAAAGCCATGCTTCTTCCTGTTGTTTTGGAACTGTAAATGTCTCTTAAAATAATTACATAGAATGTCCGGGGCCTAAGTACCCCACAGAAACAAAAGCTCTCCCTAAAACAGCCACAAAATAGCAGTGCAACCTTTTATGCCTGCAGAAAACAAACATAATTTCGTTGTAGAAAGCTACGGGACTGGTAAAGCAGCTCTCTGCTCGTGTATTTTTTATTCTCTACAAAACATGCTGGTGGCACAGCTATAATTGTGCCTAACTGGTCTCTTCTTAACGAAGGTTACCTGAAGTTTGGCACAGATAGTCGAATGGTAGTGTTTGACTTGGAGATTCAAGAGGAGCAATTTAGGCTAATCGGTATAGACACGCCAATAAAACATCAAGCAATGGCAAGCTTTTACAGGAATTAAGAAGCACCTAATTTTGACAGGTGACTTTACCTGCGTTTTGAATAGTTTAAACAATAGAAGTAGGCCTGGGCAGAGAGAAAACAGACATTTACAATTCAGAGTAAGGAAAATTGTACAACGATTTAACCCATTAGGGTGTACGCACTGTGTCATGGGAAAAGCTCTTAACACACCTGGTCGCGTAACAACTCGCAGGCTCGCTTAGACCTAGCGTATGCGACTCCATCTCTGCAGTGAACAGTCGTAAACTGTCAGGCGGTTGACCATCTCTCGTACGCATTGGGTATTTTTTCCCAGAGGCCCATGGTAGGGTCCTTTGAAGTTAACGACAGCTTGTCTCACCACCACCCTTGGCGAGTAGGCGATAGATTCTTGAACGATGTGATGGCAAGGGCCAGTTTGCGCAACTGTTTTACAGCCTTCATAGGCAACCATAGTTGAGACGCTCCTAAGCAGGCGTGATGAGAAATCTCTCTGGACGAGGGTAAAATGTTAAAACACCAAAATGGTAGTCTGGTGAGAGCAACGCTCCAATGTATCGCATATCGAATAGAGGAGAACCCACGTCTCTTCTTAAGAATATCTATGCTGATGACTTAAGATTAGCACGAGTAAGAATACTGACGTCTCCCACGGCTAGCTCCTACCAGGCCAGATGCGTTCCTAGTTCCCATCCGGAAAAACTGAATTACATCAACAGCACCCGGCTCGGGCAGATGGAAAACCGCGGTGACTTGAGCCGACAGAACATCGTCATGTTTTGTGAGCATTTTGAAAACATGAGCACACATGAACTACAGCTGGACTTGTAATCGCTTCTTGATAATCTGTTTTTAAGCAATCTCCCACAACTCTCCGACGAGACATGCTGCAGTTCACTCGCTCCCATAACCATAAACAAGCACATGAAGGCAATGCGTCACCTTCATAGAGGTTCTGCTTCGGGAAGTGATGGCTTACCTGTTCATATTTACTATGCATTCTGTGACGTCATAGATCCTATCTTGTGCGAGATGCTAAACGTATTTAGGAGCAGACACATGCTCCCAGCGCCGCTTAAGAAAGGCAGGGTGATCCTGCTTCTGAAGAAGCAAGAGCACCTCGAGGACACACGTAATTGCCACCCGATTGCGTTATTGGGAAAAGACTACAAAAACTTAACCACTGTCCTAACCCTGCTTCTACACGGAGTCATGCCCTCGCTTGTCACAGCTTGGCAGTCATGTTCAGTAGTAGGCCGCAACATCCAAACCTTGAATATGCCTAACAGAGATACTATAAAATACACGATACCGAGACATGCGAGGGAATGGCTCACCTCCCTGGTCCAGGCACTAGAATTCGGCAGAGTAGAGCGTAAGTACACTTTAGCCAGTCTGCTGGCGCTTGGCTTCCCCAGACAGTTTGTGTACCTAATAATGAAAATATACAATGACTCTAACGGCGACCTCACAATGAAGTATGAAATGGTAGCATCTTTTCCAGTAACCAGAGACGACAGACAGGGATGCCCTCTTTGCCCCTGTTATTGGCGTTAACGATAGAACCTTTTGGTGATTCAGATTGAAGAAACACCAGAGTGTCCTCAGGTGGCAAACCGCCGGTAGAGGTACTGTTAAAGTAGCCGCTTCCGCAGATGACATAATCACATATCACAGGGTCAAGGAGAGCTTAGCGGCGGTTTATAAAGGTTTTTTTCAGTATACGCTCAGCTTTCTGAAGCTCAAACTTAATTTACACAAGTGTAAATCTTCATGCCTTCACGCTTCGCCACGAACATGCCTGCACGACAGTTCCGTCGTAGATAAAGTATGCATTCTAGGAGTGAGCTATCAGGCCAGCGGAGTGACCAGGAGAGCTGGGAGGAGGAGGTCAAGGCGCTGAAAGTTTAGACAAACAGGGCTCTAGCGTTTCAATTCCCGTACTATGTACGCCGTTATTTACTCATGAGAGTCTTTATTGGTCACTTTTGGTTTTTGTCCGATTCCTTATTGATGCCCTATCAAGTTGCGCGCAGGGTCAAATCGCACCTTATCAGACATTTTTGGATCGCAAAAGCCTCCTTTGTAAAATATGAACATTTAGGACTGCCTCGTGCGAAGGGCGGCTGAAACATCTCTTCGGCTGTCGTTTTGGCAGATACTTTTGTGTTGAACACGATCCTCAAGATTTTACAACTATCAGAACTACACACCACCAGAAAACTGGCGACATAATTTCTAGGGGCACAAAGTCGCCGTTTTTTGCACCCACTGCCCCCGGGGCACAAGAATTTGAATCGGTCGCCTGTGTATAGGCATGTCATTGATATCTATAGGAGAATTGCCGCGTTAAACTTCGATACCCCGCTCCTGGAGATTCGCAACACAGAGTTAGGGCAGTAGTTACTTGTGAGTTCTGGCTGCAAGGCCTAGAACCCCGGGTTTCCAAGAGTCCTACTCTCTAGCTGGCTACCGGGCAGTATTCAGGATGTGGTGTGGCGCTTTGGGTTGTCCGTTTTGCCTACGGCGGACCGGATGTACCGATGACATCTCGTCTGCTGGGAGCAGTGCATGCACTGCAGGAAGCACGAGCCGAATGAACACGCATTGCTGACTTGCTTGTGGCCAAGACATTCTTGTGCCTCTTAGGTGGGGCGTACCACTCGTTTGGTATAGAGCGGTTCATAAAAAGGGTAGGCGCCCGAATAGTGCACTGGCCCGTCTGGTGCGGGCGGCTGCAGTGTTTTCCTTGTGGGAAAACAGAAGTATAGCGGTAAGCCAGCCAGTGGCCGCTGATAGTCTGAATGTACAAAATTGTAACTATTCATTGGGAAGCTCAATTGCTCCTCCTAGGTGAGGAAGAATTCTTCAAGCGTTGGTCCTGTGCCTTTATTAAAATAATCAACAACAGTGTTACGCTCGCCTGTTTTCCAATACAGAGATTGCAAACCACATAAAAGTTATACCCATAAGTTGCTGAGCGTGTTCTCGCAATACTGCTGGTATAAATGTGAAATATTTATGTCACTCTGCTGTGGTACCTGTGTCACTGTAATTGAGGGCCACTTGAACGCGGAACCGTATTGTGTGTGGAACCTGCGGCACGTATTTTGGTAAACAATAAGATTTTCACGAATACAAATGTAGACACAGAGAAACAGACAGACATACCCAAGTTTTGACGTCGAGGATCCCCAAGAAACACTATTGTATATAAAAATACCGCACAACTACGCTCCCACCAATGAGAGAAAGCGGAATTCCTAATTGCGTATCATAGGAGCGATCGACTTGCTTGCTGTCTGTGCTCTTTCGAAAAGGCGAAATGAGCGCCAAGGACACTAGTGACAGGTCTGCTCGAATTCTCTTGCCTCCGTCGCATGCAGCTATTGTATACATGCCCGAGCTGCCTGTGCTTGTTGATAACGCGGCACGAGCGCTGCTATGATCGTGACTTCAATAAGGGCAAAGTGCAGTGAGGGGAAATTGATGCGCTCCTCAAGGCGCGTTTGAAGATATATACGATAATGAAATATTGCAGTTGATCTGATCGTAAATTCAACCGTATCCGACTTCGCCAAGCTTGTGGAGTGAGTTGGTATGGTGGAGTGATGTAGATAGTAGTGTCGAGAGGCCTATCCAGAAAGAGCAAATGGTGAGGATAGCTTCTGCCTAGCGGCGACTAATTGGTGCGGCTGCGAAAGGTGTAACGTCATTTATTACGCACACGAGCTCACTTTAGCGGCCACTTTTTCGCAGTAAAAACAAACAAGTAATGTGTTGTTTTCTTAGCCCTCATTTCCGCAATGGAAACAGTGGTAAGGTGCTTGCGGCAAAGACTACCGTGAAAACTCCGAAGCACAATACGTTCAATTGGACCGCTAATCTTGAGCGCTTGCAGCGACAGTGATCTCGTTTTTAGGAGCGACTGAGAATGAAATCAAAAAAAAAAGCTCAAAGCTAGTGCAGAGTATGAGGAGACTCCGAAATCATTGTGCTCACCTATGCAAAGAATGAATATCCGGGGGCTTGTTAATAAGGGCACTCGACCAGCAGAGCTGAGAAGATCAAAAAAGTGCGCAGCTCGCACGAGTGGCCCATGACCGGAACCGGGATAAGTTTGGGAAACAATGTCACGTTTTTGCCAGAAATTCCAAGTTTTCGCTAATAATGCCAATTATCGCTAGACGTGGCAAGGCATAGCTAGGTGGGTCCCTTGGGTACCTGTTACGTTATATTGCAACTTTAGTCTCATGGCTACTCTTGTTTAATTCCTTTGTGGCGGGAAAATGTCACGCAGCTGTCTAGCTATTACTAGATGCTGTGTGATTTAGATCACGTGACTTAAAGCTACATGAGTTTTAGTTACTCTACCAGATGTTTCGCGATGTGGCAAGACTTTCAGTCACGCGAATAGAAGAGTGGTTTGAGTCGCGTCAGTGTTACGTCCTTATTTGTTTTGTGACTATTGGTCGTGTTAGTCTAGCTACGTGACTATAATAATGTCATATCATAAAATTTTTTATCAGAGTTCCCATTGCATGATGTGACATTAGTGTTACCGACATAGCAGACATCGTGAGATTTGTATTCCACGCCAATCAAAGAGGCGCACGTGTTTTGGGAGCAAAGCAGAAGTTCAAAAAGACCAAGTGAGCACGCACCTATTCATGAAGACAACGATTCCCGTTCGCACTACGTGTCACTATTAAAACACTGAAGCCCGACGCTTCTGAATATATATATATATATATATATATATATATATATATATATATATATATATATATATATATATATAAGTTTTAGTTTTTATTTGTTTGAGTCATAGTCGATGGCTAAAACAATGATGACGTTAGGCATTGCTTGTTAGTGCCATCGCATGCCTCACTGCCTTGGTAACTATTGGTGCCCAATTATGACGGTAGAAGTTGTTTCAATAAATATTTAAACAAAAATAACCTGAAAAATTTTTAGTGGCACAGTGCTCAGAGAACACTACGGTCTAGGTTTATTTGAGCGCAACTTCTCGCACAAAAAGTCTTGCAGCTCGGTTTTTTACACGCCTTGTATATGTAGTTCAGGTATAGTGCGCTTGAAGCCGCTGCATTCTACATATTTTAAAAAAACTCATGGTGATATGACCAGAACATCCCTATTGAAACAATCCGTATGCGATGTTCAATAATTCCGAATGTTTCCGTAAGAATCTTACGGAAATATATAGAAAATATATAGGAAACATCTGTATTCTTACGGAAACGTACCGAAATATTGGACATCGCATACGGATCATTTCAATAGGAATGTTCGATGTGGATCTATATAGAAAGAATGCCATATGCCCATTCAGCTGCATGTATAGTAGCTTATTCATTGAGCATTTTTATGGAAATCTCATCTGCTAATTAAGCGTTAATAAAACAAACACAGATGTTTATGTTTCTGATAGTGACAAAATAAAAGCCGGGGTAGTAATGAGTGCACATTTGTGTAATCTGAAGAAACTTTGCGAATGTTATTAGAAATATTTCCACAAGTTACGCAATCACACTGGAGCAGCAGAGAACGGTAGCTGGGGTAAGCCGCACAATGCAAGCAGTCACTTTGAATTAGGGAAAGCATTTGTCTCGAATACGGGTAAGTAACGATATGGTATAAATACCCAACTGAGTAGACGCAGAAAACTTCCGCTATTGTTTCAAAGAGCACAGCAGATATCCAAATGTTATTATTTTAAAGCCTGCGGCATGTTGTATTTTTGGGGCACTTTATTTAATTATTTATTATTTATTTATTTATTACTTACAGCACCCAAGCAGGCAATATAGAGGGGGAGGGTTAAAGGAAAAAAACATTAAAACTGCAGGGTAACGTAAGTTTGTGTAAAAAAAGAAAAATAGAAGAAGTCGATTGGCAAGAAACAAGCCATACACAGCTGTGTCAGAAAATTCATATGTACCAGAAATAATGCAGAAACCACAAAAATTAAGGAAAATGTAATGGTAATTAAACCAAAGTGCAGCATTCATCCAGCACAAGGGCAAATGGAACACCAAATCAAAACAACATAGACTGCAACCAAGATACCGTGCAGATCACGGCTACTGCCAGGTGCACAGGCGTAGTCTATAGGGCATAGTAGTCGATTGATGCAATCATTTTTATTGCAAAAAAAAACGCACTCGTCGAAGAAGTTTCTACAGTTGTGGGAGGAAGTCGTTACCACTGACTGATAGATATCGGAAAAAAAGAGTTGCTGAAGGACGATGTATTGCATTTATATTCTCCTATCTTGTTATGATCTTTGCGGGCAGAAATGTAGTGGGGCCGGCCTATGTATACATCAGGGACAATTCAAGTATTATAATATGGTGTGCAATGCGTTCAGGCGAAACTGAGGGCTTCGGTGCTGCAGAGACTTACATTTTAACTTCAGCTTACTTTTGTCGCACTGAATCGCTTCACGTACATTGGTGAATCAAACACATATGTTTCCACGGTGGGCGCAACTTTATCTTATCATTTTTTATTTGATGATACAGAAGGATCGCATGCACAACATGCGTACTCCAGTACTGATCTCACGTATCATTTTTATAGTAACTCCCGGGTTTGCTGTTGAAAAGCACGTGTATTTCCTTTTAAGAATGCTAAGCTTCTACTAGCTTTTGTTTTCAGTGTATTCCAGATGCCAATACTATGATAGAGAAGGGCAAAAAACGACACCTAGGTATTTGTATTTGCGCACAATTTTCACCGGAGAGCTGTTTATTGTGTATTCAATATCACCTAGTTTTGTTTTCTGATTAACATCATGCATACAGTTCTCTTAAAATTCAGTTTCATTCGCCATCGCTGGCATCATGCCTCTATTGCACATAAGTTGTTTTGGATTACGGAGCAATCAGTTTGAACAGTCGTTTGACGGTATAAAATGCAGTCGTCTGCAAATGGCCTATTAAAGATTGTGCATTTTCAATAATGTCCTTTATTTGTTATAAAATGTGGTGGTCCTAGTAGTGATCGCTGAGGTACACCTGATGTGACACAAGTTATTTCAGACTGTTCGCCGTTTACAACTACAAGGTGTCGCTTCTCATGTAAATATTCAGCAACCCATTCAGTAACTGCGGGAATAATATCAAAGGCAGTTCGTTTTTGCAGCAATAGGTAGTGCGAAACAGTGTCGCTCCTCTGGTGTCAATACTACTGCACTGCAGTTGAACCTACATGTGCGTGATTTCTCGGGTTATTGTGACTGTTTCGGGGAAAAAAAGGTATTGACAAAAAAGCGTTCTTTTGGCCACACTTACACGAGGGCTTTTCCATGTGAAAAAGACAAAAAATTGGCCAAGCTTATCTCGGTACGCGACGGGATTTTTCGCGGAATAAAAATGCATATTCGACTGGCATAATGCATGGTGACTAGCTGGACAGGCTTCTATGTTACAGAGTCTCTGGTAGACCCATCTACTCATCGAGTTATAAGATGCACACATTGATTTTGAAGCAGTCAAGCCGGATCAATCGCTCTTAATCCTGCAGAAAGTGAACCTAATATTCTTCATTGCTCTTATTCGAGGGCTGCTGTAAAAAAAAGCAGTCTATGGTTGCGGCAATAACGCCGCTCACATTCAAGGCTTAGCTTGCCCGTCATAGTAATTCCGGGGCGCAACTACATGCTCACTACGTGTAAGTGAACAGTGGTGAAACACCTTTCCTCTTATTTGCTTGTCACACACTGCCGATAAAACTGAAATATTAATAAAGCACTGGTATTCACAAGGATTCGCAAGCACGTGGTAAATGTCAATCACTCGTTGTAACCCTTCTATGCCTTTTGTTGGAGGCAGTTTGTATCCTAAGTTGACTGAACAGTCATACACGTCAATAAAGCTAGTTCTTATCGTCCACCATGTGCAGCGTCAGTAGGACCACCACCATCAATGGCATCCCTGATCTGCACCATGGCCAGCGACGGCCCAGTGCAAGTGCCAGCTGACGGTGTCTGCGACTTCATCCTCTATGACTCACTGAAAGCCCCTTTCGACAGACTGGGCCAAGCGGCAACGGGAACATTCAAGGCATTCCAAGACTTCGCGGTCAAGGGGAATGTTACACAGTTTGGCGTCTCCATATCCCCTTTGTAAGTTGAGGTTGATCCTAAAGCTAATATAAATATAGCATCTGACAAAATAAAATTGTACAAGCATACTAAATATTCCACGAAATCAATACTAATAAACTGTTTAATTCAAAGTCACCCTTTCAAAGTCAACCTTCAAAGTCAACCTGAAGTTATGCATACTGTCGAAGGTAATGCTCCGTGACTCATACTTGCATTTCATACAACCTCGAAGTGAGCACCAACTATTGAGCGTAATTTAAATATCGTGACCAGTTGTGAAAAACCATCTTGCCTCTATTAGCAATTTAATACGTCCTCAGTTGCACCTCATTTAATTGAATTCACCATCACCTTTACAACATTATATCACTTACTTCAGAAAAAAGTCACTATAGCGGAAACAATATCACGCTAAATCAGCACGGCAGCGCTGAACACCTAACCTTATCGTTGAAGTCTCTTGCGCTCTGTAATAAACACAAAAAACAAGATCTTTTATGAATTCACTTTTGATGACTCCAATGCAAAATGCGTCTTTTTTTTCTTCTGAGTGAAAAGCCTTGTACGCCTAACATGGCTTTGCGCGGCCTATGGGTATTTCGAGCTTTCTGCACTTTGCACCGTTAAGCGGAGTTCCCAAGGTTGACTCCTCTGTGACCAAACATTGATGTCATGTCGTGATGTCATTGTGTTTGAAAATTCGCACAAAAAGAGCCACAGACCAACTTGCCTATTATTCAAACATCGTGACGTGACGTACCGTTATTTACAATAACAGTTACGATAACGGTGACGTCACAAATTAGAACAATTTGTGAAGTCGTGATCGCGTCATGCGATGGCGTTTGAACAAATTTGATGACGTATACGCAATAACATGTGAGATTGCACGAGGAGTGTTTTGCAGCACTTCTGTCGACGCCACTCACTCGGGGCGCCGGCAACTGCTTTCCCCGTTTGATGAAACGCATGTTAAAGGAAACAATGAAACAATAAAGATACCTCGGAAGACTCGTAAGTTGTGTCTTATACTAATATCCATGTTGCTAGAAATCGATAACGCACTTGCTCTTTCTGGTGAAGAGCCATTGAAGTTCATGCGTTAGTGGCGCAAGCACTAAAACTCCGAGCCAAATTCATCAGCTTGATGAAACCCGTGTTTAGCACGATATTCACACAAATATTGTCCCTCTTTTATCCCGAAGAAATTAGGAAACATATGTGGTCGTCTACCTGCTATGTGGCCAACTTTTTCTCGCATTAGAGAGGCGAAAATCATACAACAATATGATGTCTAGAGTCCAGTAATTGTCGAGCTGTAAACGTAGTTACTGGTAATATGCATTCTCAGTATTCCGTCTTTTGGAGTGATGTCATTTTGAATATTGATATCATAAACACTGTGGTCGCATCATAGTACACGGCATTGTCTATGCGAAACAGGTTATGGTTCAGCTTAACCAGTGTGCGGTGCAAACCACCCTTACAGTGCACGCCTGTCTCTCCTCCTCTTATTTTCTCTCCTACACTCTCCCTCTCCTGACTCGCAATGCACACGTAGGGAGTGCCAGCATGTCCCCCTCTTTCTCCTATCGGCATCCCTCAAAGTACCGTTTACACCCGCAGTGCACATGCGTGTCGCCTCCATCTGTTTCCTCTCCTATGTACTCTTTTTCTTGCCATGTCGACGGCGTCTGCTCGCTCCCCCATCTCGTTCCTCTACATATTCATTCAGTGTTTATTTCCCCTCCCTTGCTCATTGTCGTCGCTTCCTCCCCTCCAACCTCTCCTACGCTCTTCACTCTCACCTCCCAACGCCGATGCACGCAGCTTCTGCTAGCGAGTTTCATTAGTGAAAAACCGACTGTTTGCTCTGCGTGACCATTTATTAGCCTCCGTCCCCCGTATATACAGACACAAGATCTTAACCACCAAAATAGTACTGTTGGAAGATTAATCCTGTGAATTGTTTAACAGCAACAATTCAGAGCGTGCGTGTTAGCTAAAAAAAAGCAGCGGGTATCTGTGTTCCCCCAGTCTTCTCTCTCGCATTGCCTTTTAGCCGCGATTCGCGTGTTCCAGTAGGAAACACTGGCCCATCACTGCAGGATTTGTGCCTCCTCAGGTTTCTCTGCTGCGTAACGCGGCCATGAGCGTCAGCATCAAAACTGCTGCAAATGTAAGCGTTGGGGCTCGCTGCTCCGAAACGACACATGGTTCCCTTTGCAGAATAAGGGATTTTTTAGTACGTCGCTCTTGGTCATTTATTGCCTGGAAGCGCACTTTTTAATTATCGTGCTTCCGAAAATGGACAGTATATTTCTCCGTGCCCAAACATACGTAAGAGCGGACACTCCTATAGGGACCCTGTGGCCGAGCTTTGATGGATAGATAGAAGTATCTGACTGTGCTCTTTAGATCGGGCGGTGGCTCACGCCACGTAGCCATAAAGTTAAGTACTATCACTGTGTGTTTAAGAATTGAATTTCACTCGCGCCTCGATTGTAGCCACCAATCACTTGGCCTCCTCCTGGTTATTTTTACCTGTTTAAAGTCTATTTTGCCTCCACTGTCCTTAACCCTCAATGATTTCAAGTTCGGCGCCATAATCCTCGACTATAGGGTGCAGCCCTTTACAGAACATTATCAAATGTTTAGCCGTTTCCTTCTCCTCTCCACACGCACTACATACCGTGTCCATGCTTTGGTATTTTGCTTGAATCGTCTTGGTCCGCAATACTCCCGTTCTCTCATCGAAAGGCAGAGAACTACCCTGAGAATTATCGCAGATCTTTTCCCTTGCAATATCCTTCTTAAAAGTTCGGTAGATCCCCAGTGATGATTCGGTAAGCATTCCTATCTTTCACACGTCCCTCTCTGTTTCCTTCACCTTCTTCTTAACCGATGTTTTCTATGGCTTGGAATTCTGCTGTTGTCTAAATACTTGCTTGACAATTTTCGAGTTCGTTTCCTCTATGTAGTATGGATATTCTTCAAGTTCAAGTAACTAAATACTTTCCGAGCCTAACGCTCCTCTGCCATTTTTTCTCAATTGCTCCTCAAATTCTATCTTGCTGCAAACTTCCCCGCACTCAAAAGATGTGGATCCCGTGTCTCCTTGTACCCCTTGATTTGGTGTATTCCCGTGTGCTCCCAAGGCAAGTCTACCTATGCAACGTACTTTTATTTTTAATCTTGCTTGAACTTCTGATTTCATGCACAAGATCACATTGCTGAACGTCAAGCCCGAGACTAAGACACGTTCCCAAATCCCTCTCAAGAAGTCACACATATTTTAGTTCCAGTGTGCCCTATCTTTCATTAAAGCTGCATTCCTGATGTCCTTAGTCAATTCGTATCTTTTATGTTCCCTTGGATGCTCGGCCCCGTTATTTATCCATACGCCCAAGTATTTGTATTTATCTACTATTTCTAGGGTGACTTTGTGTATCTATGCTCACTGCCTTTGTTTTCTATAAAGATCATGATTGCCAATTTTCACCCGCGGAATTTCAAATTTAACCTATCTTTCTCATTACCACAGATGTCTATCAATCCCTGCAGATCTTTCTTGTTGTCGCCTAATAACACTACATCATCTGCATACATCAGTACTGGTAATGACTGTTCAATGTATTTTCCTAATCATAATTAACAAAGTTGTCAAGGGATATTTCTGTCCAAGCCCACGTTTTATTAGTATGGTCTCAGATACCTGTTCTCTAATTTTATAACTACCTTGTTGCCTTTATAGGTATTCTTTAAAATGGGTTAATTGACATTCCACATCTAGTGTGTCCAGTATTCCCCACAATTCTTCTCGAATCACACTATCATAAGCTCCCTTTATATCTAGAAATGCCAGCCTCAAGGCCTGTGTTCCTTTTCTGCTATTTCAATACACTGCATGAACGAAAACAGATTGTCTGCCAACCTCCTTCGTTTACGAAACCAATGTTGTAGTCCTCCCAGCGCCCCCTCAATCTCCACCCATGTCTGTAGTCATTCCTTTAGTACCTGCATCACCAGCCTGTAAACTAATAATCTCACTGTTATAGGACAGTAGTTGTTTTTATAGGTTCTGTCCGCTTTTCTTTTTTAGATCATGCTCATCCTGCTTAGTTTCCACCAATTCGGAGCTTCACCAGCCTATATTGCTTTGCTCGCTGCCTCTCTTGATGTGTGCTGAGAGTTTCGTCCTTGTTTTTTATTAGCGTGATTGGGATGCGGTCAGGGCCTGTTGTAGTGCTATTAAGAACTCTTTTCTCTGTCCTCTGCTGCTCTCGTTGTCGCAGTGAAGTCACTTACCTAAGTGGTCCATTTTCATCTGGTACGGTGCATGCAGTGCTTTCTCGGTGTCTACATTTTTCTGTCATCATTGTTTTTATATATTTCATTTCCTCATCCCTTTCTAGTCCGACCCCTTGAACTGTAGGTATAAGCCTGTCTTTTGTACTTGTCTTATTACTCAGAGAATTTTGATGGTTCCAAAACTTTGCTGCTCTTCTATCACTTTTGTTTATTTCTGCCATCGATTAGGCTCCCATTTCCCTAATCTTTTCACTGACCAAATGGAACGATTTCCTTCTGCAGCTCAAAAAGTTATCCCATTTTTCTTTGACATCATCTTGCGGTTTACTTCACTCCACTTCACTTTATTTTCCTTAAAGACCTCGCACTGGAGGTATTACATAAGGGGTGGGGTTAACACACATTTTTTTTACAAAATAGTGGCTACATACATTTATTGAAAAACAGCAGATTTTAGTTTTACCGAAAATGATGATGAGCAGGTGGTTTCGACGATATGGCGGGGCAGGCCGTTCCAGTCAACTGATGATCGACAAAAGAAAGATGCAGAAAATGTTGTAGTGCGGCTGCGTGGACGAGAAACTTGCAAGTGGTGCCCTGTGCGCAGCGATGTGCGCGGTGGCGGGGCCAAAATATATGGGGCATGATGAAGCGAGCTGTAGAAAAACTTGTGAAAAAGGATTAATGAATCAATGCGGCGCCGGTATGATAGCGTGTTTAAACCAGACTGTGTTTTTAGTAATGATATGCTGATGTTATAGGAATATGACGATTGAATAAACCTTACTGCGCGATTCTGAATGGCTTCTAGGGTATTGATAAGACATGCTTGATGAGGTGACCATATGGGAGAAGCGTATTCTAGTTTCGGGAGTACGAGTGACTTATATGCTAGAAGTTTTACGTGGCGTGGTGCATGACGCAGGTGGCGTTTTAGAAATCCCAGGGTTTGGTTGGCCGAGGCGGTAATGCATGCTATATGAGGCGACCAGTTTAAGTCATGTGAGAGTGTGACACCAAGGTACTTGAATGTATCCACTGTTTCTAATGAAGTGTTAGCAATAGTGTAAGGTGTGTATAATGGCTGAAGACGGCGAGTGAAACATACTACCTTGCATTTGTTGGGGTTGAGGGTCA